ATTTTATTACATTTTTACCAGTTTTTTTATGTTCACTATTCTCAAAATTTTCGAATTTCGAAACTAACTGATTAAAACTACTAACTGTATCTAACTAAAAAATTATACCAGTTGTTTATACCAGTCGATATTCTCCAAGATATGGGTATGATATATATGACAAGTAATTTCAAATTAAATTCATAACAAGTTTGTGATTGATATCCACAATTATCAATTGAACTTCACACACTCACAGAAAAGCTGAGAAAAAATCCAGAAACCACAGAAATTTTTTTTTAAATTTCTGCGAAATATTTTTTTTCATTAAATTTCAAATTTCATCTAATTTCAAAGTAATTTGTATTCAACACTTCATAATCGTTATCGCCGCTTTTTGTTTACAAAGTTAGGCGCCACATTCTAATGGCGACCTCATTGGCACTCTTATAACTTGACGCTCACTATTTCTTACGAAATTTCATATTCTATAGTATGTAAATAATAAATTTTATTTCGTAATGTATTTCCTTATAACTCTGTAAGCGTTTCCTATCAGCAGCTGTGCTATTTTATATTGTTTGAAGTCAACGTTTGTAAACATTTATACTCATATGAGTTATATGTATACGTGTGAGTAAAATAGTATAAAAAAAAATAAACAAGAAATATCATTAAACTGATCCAAGGGCTTTTGCGCTATTTAAAGTCGCTGTGTAATTTAATTTATGCGACTACGAAGCGAATTATGATCTAATTTTTATTTTTATTATAGCGAAGCAAAATTTTCGACAAGTATACATACATATCTATGTATTTGTACATGAGGTATGAGTTAGTATATGAAAGAAAGAAATATGAAGAGAAGGCTGCTAGCACCTGTGTCAATTGGAGTATGTACACATGCATACTCGTTTTTTCAAGATTCGCATAACTTTTATTCGTTAAAAATTTTGATGGCATTTTTCTCTATTGATTACAATATTCTTTTTGAATTAAATTCTCTGGCTTTAGAACCTATTCTTATTACTTTTTTTTTTTTAAATACTCTTAAGGCTTACGTCTTTGCTTAATTGAAGTATGAAAAAGTAAATTAAAAAGTTATGCCAACCGATAAACCTCCCATACATACATATGTACTCTTTTTTATATTAAAAAGGCTATGCTCTCTATTACAAAATAAATAAAAAGCAAAGATACGACTCGATAAGATATACGAGAGTGCGCTTGTATATACATATGTATGTGCATACAATACTTTATTAAAAGATTTATTTTTTGATTTATAAATTGGCCCTTTCTTTCAGTATTTATGCTATAAAATTTTAGTACTTTTATAGGAACTTTAGTTTTGGGATTTCTGGTTAAAGATTATTTTAAATTAACTAATTTTTTATATAATACAATTCAAAAGCAAAAATAAATACTTTGTATAAAATTATAGCATTTTTATAGGGAGTTCGCTTGACAACTAAACTCAGAAATCAAAAGATTACGAAATATTTAATTGAAGAAATTTGCTATAAAATTATAGCATTTTTATAGGAACTGATTTTTAGATCGACTGATCATTATAGCAAGTAAAAATGCATTTTGTGCACACTTGTGTATTTTTTTGTAATATCACTGGCATTACGCACGGCATTCTAAACAAAATCTTATCAACGTTATTTACGCAAAGTATTTTTAACAATAAAAAATAAGAAATACAAACAAGCTATAATTACTACCGTCATAACAATGATAAGATTGCTTAACAATTGCATATTTTTATATTGCTAATAAAACAATTGTTAAATTATAACTATTTTTTCTATTGCTCTTAATAATTTCACAATTGTACTATTTTGACCGTCACCTGCAACAAAATGTATATTTATAGCAAAATGTATTTGGATAATTTTTAGTTAAGAGATAATTTGTTCGAGTTTTTTCAGATACGTATACTTAAATATCCGATTTCCTTGACGTCAGTTTTTTATTTTGTTGTATTTTGCTTAGTAATCAAAAAAATTTGAGGTAAGACATTCAAATTATTCGTGAATAATCGACCAGCGTGCTATTAGTGTCTTTTTTAAATTGATACCCCAAGACTTAAAATCGAAAAGCGCATAAATCTCCTATAAAACTATATAAATAATAAACATCTGTTTCGAAATAACAACAAAAGCAAAAAATAGCATAAAAAACGCTCACCCTCCTACATTGTTCTCTCCTGCCATAATCGCGATGCGGAACCTTCATTTAATTGAAATAAAATATTGACTACTGATTTATTGTCATTTTCTTGCTGTAAATCGCCATATGCACATACAAAGTATATGTAAATACATAAATCTACATGTAATACATATCGACATATTTCGTCAATCAACTCCATGTTTGCTTATCGCTAGCTGTAAAAGCCTTAAGCGTGCTACGTATGCACTTAAATGCTTGCATTTGCCATACGTCAATAAAAATTGCTGCAGCCAGTGCACTACTCCACCCATTAAACAGCCACCACCCGCCAGTGTACCCTTACACAGCCGGCATAGCCCATCAATCAGCCGAACGACGTTAGTCAATAAGTCAGTCGGTCGGTCGATAGTGGCGAGGAGCTGGCTGTGAATTGTGCCAACAAGGCTGCCAGCAGCGAGTACATTTCTGAGTCATTCGCATAGGCAAGAAAATAAAACAAGAAAATAGTAATAAAAAACAATAATAATAAAACGCAAAAACAAACATTGTCAACACCGTAACGTTATTGAATTGCGGTATTATTGTTTGTTACTCTTCGACTATCGTCGTATTTACGCTCGTCGGCTTAAGTAAGTAATCAACAGCGACGAGAACTTCGGTAGCAACAAAACAAAAAACGATAAAGTAGTTAGCGTATGAGCAAAATAGTAAGCAAAAATACTTTTTTTGTTTGCACGTAATATTGTTGGTAAGTGTATGTGGACTACGTCAATGGGCTGAATTTGCCTCGACTGCGACGCGTTTACATGATTTACACCTAGTTGTTGTTGCAGGGCAATCAAATATGCGCAAGTCGAAAATTTTCCAGTTTTATATCCAACTCAAGTCAAATTTTGAAAATTTCGCTTTCACGCTCTTATCATTTGATGGCTGTTTTTTTATTTTAATAATTTTTATTGTATGTGACTCAATAAAATATCGCAGTTAGTTGATAAATAGGCGAAGTAGCGTTTTGTGGTATTGTTGCTATTGAAGGAATATAGTGCAATGCACCGTAATAACTGATATAATTACTTATCTATGCATATACCTCTGTACACTGTATGTTCTATGAATGCGTGTTTGTATCTACTTATTTGAGCAAATTTGCTTGATTTTGATAACAGAGTACTTTCGATAACCTCAAAGAAACTATGTTGGTAAAGATGTTGTACTATTTATCCGACATTGTTTTTGAATAACTGAACATTCTAGTATACGAGCATAACTAAATTTTTTATGTTACTAAATTAATGAAGAACATGAGAATTTGTGAGTTGCTTGGATAATGCAGCTAAATTTCATTGACTAGAAAAAAGTAATTTTCTTCGTTGTAAATTTCAAATTCTAAGACATTTTGTAAAGAAATATTTGAAAAAAATTGGGTTATTTCATACTTCAGTAAGCAGAAAATGTTAACTTGTACGCTAGATCTCACTATGAGCTTTCACAAAGCGGTTTACACTAATTATAAAAACGCAATTTTATACACCTTTCTTACCGTTTTTTAAATTCATACATGTATGTATGTTTTATAATTTTATTAATATTAATTTTGATTTATAAAAAAATAAGTAAGGAGCTTGAAAAAGCAAGTTTATAGGTACTGTATCGAAAGCAATAATTTTATGGTGATCCTCAATAGTGACTTAAACTCATCAAAAATGTGATTAAAGAAGTTCGAGCGATTTTAACTCATCAAAAATTTAATTAAAGCAGTTCGTATCAAAAAATCACCACTGCGTATACGTTACCGAAAGTGTGGCGTACAAATAATTTCAAGAAAATGTTGCATACACTTAGGCGTGCTCTCAATTAAAATTTATAGCAGTAAAAATAATAGCTGATATAAAGGAAGAGAGTACTTTTACAGTAATATTTCAATAGGATTTCTGATAAAATATCGTTTGTTTTAATTAAAAGTAACAGTTTTTTTAAAGGATTTACCGAACTTTGCATATTTTAAGCGCGGTTTTTAAAAAATATTATAA